ATATATATGAAATATGCTTGACTAAAGTTTCTATACTCTTTGAACCAGAAACTTCATTACTGAACTTATACTACAAGAAACTGTTGATAAAAAAGAAAGCCTCAACACATGCCAAAATATTTATAGGAGCACTTTTTTGTAATAGAAAAGAATTAAAAACAAAGTAGACACTCACTGACTCTGGTATGGTTAAACAAATTGTGGAACTTAAATGTAATGGAATATTGTTGTACTGTAAGAAATTATGTATATGTCAAACACAGAGAAGCATAGATAGAACCCTTGTGATACCATACTGCAGTGGCATAAGTGCCACCACTGGTAGGGAACACTTTCCTTACTTTCCCATTTTGGTGACTGAATGGAGGACAGACTGGACTGGGGAGAGACTTGTGGAAGGAAGAAAACAGTAGGTTATTACAATAGTCCAGGCATGAAGTAAAGACTTGCACTATAAGAGGAGAGAAAGGGGAATAATGGTGAATGCAGCCTCCCGGGCTTCCACACAGAAAGTGTCTGAGCAATAGATCTACACGATATTAGGACTCATAGGATCTCCTGCACTCACCAGATCTGAGAGGCATGGAGTCCACATGGCTGGGGCTTTTTATTGGGCCTTGTCCAGGAAGCTGTGTCAGAGAAGCAGGGGCCAATCAGGTTTCATGGGGTCATAGGGTGGGGAGGAAGTTTTACCAGGGAAGCCACTAGGGACACTGGGCCAAAGGAAGTTGTGTGTAGGGAAGAAGCTGTGTCAGAGTAAGGAGAACTGTGTCAGGAAACTGCTGTCTACCACATGCCACCTCTTGCTGGCAAGGTCCTAAAGACATTCTACAGGACCTTCCACCATTCAAATAAACTAGAGTCTTACTGTCATGCTTGGTACTAAGAGAGGGGAAAAAAGGGCGGGGGGAGGGAAGCAAAAACGAAAATCAAAACAAAAATGTGGAGGAATACAGAAATATCACAAGTCCCAAGCCTTTCTTTCCTCCTTCAAAAAGACTAACTCTCAAAGTCCCATATTCTGGTCCTGTGATGGATAATACCACATCTTTGGAACGCAGATGATAATGTCTCAGTGTAGTCACAGACTTCCCTTGATGTGAGTTGGTCATGATGAGCTAGAGCAGCCCCAGGAACATCAAAGGCCTCCACATGAACACTTCTCTGACAGTCAACTTTCTTCATCCTCAATCAGGATTGTCTGTGGTAAAGTAGCTAAGAAGTCATAAGTCTGGGGATATAAGTTGAGACAGAGGGTCTCCTTGTACCACTATCCAATCAAATCTCCTGAGACCTTCATCAGGAGAATGATACAAAATCTTTGCTCCCTTGGAGGCCTGTAAAGGGCTGCTCCCTTATTCCCCAGTGTCTAAATAAGTATTCTCCCTCAACCTTATCCAGTGACTCTGAATTACCACCAAGTCAACTAAGGTATCTCACTTCTTCCAGGGAAATACACACTCACCATAATTATACAGTGGCAATTTCAACTCCCCCATGCTATTAGAAAGCAAGACACTCCCAAAAAATACCACTCCTTGATACCCCAAGCCTTTTGTGGGAAGGAGTTCTTTGAACTATCCCAAAGGAAAGGAAGTCTACTAACGTGAGCTACTTCTCTAGAGTATACGGAGCCCTCTGAGGGCAAGAACCATGAGACTGAGGAAGAGCCAGACAACATCAGTCAGAGCTGTGTGCCAAAACATTCTTATCAGTTCAGTCTTTCTGGAGACTGTACCCAAGAAACTACTGGAAGAGGGAGCCCTTTCTCTTTCCACAGCAGCATCTACTTGTCATGAACATGGCTTCTTGGAGGTCGAGCACTTGACCTGGACAGTCAGATGCATAATGATGCAACTGTTCTTCAGTGCATCTTCTCATCCTCTTGTAAGAAAGTTCCATTTTGTCATTTAGGGACAGACTGAGGGCCACTTGGATCAGCTGTCTTGTCCTTAGTGAGAGGAATCATGAATCTGTGCCCAGCACATGTATCACCACCCAAATGTCTCAATTAACACTGGACCCACCTCCCAATCTCTGTTACTCTTGTAACAACTCCAACCTGGTATTTTAGCATATGTATCTGATGGGTGCTGGCCCCACAAACAGACCTCAAAGGAAATGTTACTGAGTAACAGTGGTAGGGGGAGAACCTGGAAGAGGCAATGAGGAACAAGGAGTATTCCAATTCTCCCACCTCAAATAGTGAGTTGAGGGGAATGAGTCAAAGTGTATCCAGTACTGAAAGGAGTGACCAGGGGGGCTGTGCCCTTGGGGGTGGGGGGAGGGGGGGGACAAGGACTCAGTGAGAGGCAGAGGTGTGGCAAAGTAAAAGATGTGAGATGAAAGCAAGTTTCATCAGCTTTCCAGGCTGGCACACTTGGAAGGGGTGAGTAGCTTTTGGCTGGGACTTTGGGGTAAGTAGGTTGAGGGGGACCGGAGTAAGGAACTGGATAGCAGAAAGAGAATGATGACCTACAGAGGTCTAGAATCACTAGGATGTGTAAGGTATGAGTAGGTGGGAGTTTGTTAATCATTAGTGAAGAACATCATCCTTCTTTTCAGTAGAGACTAAAGAGGAGACTCCACCCACACAGGATGGAAGGAGCACAGCCTGATGGAAGGCCCCAACATACTTCTTTATACTCCTTCTAGTGGTTGGATATCAGGCAGGAGCTGGAAGCCCCAAGACGGAAAGCCAAGTCTCCTCTTCCTATAGGAGACATGAACAGCACAGGTTGAAAGGTGCATGGTTGGGAAGGGGGCAGAGAAGCCACCCTCCCCCCAAATTCTCCTCTTCTCTTCCCTCTGGAAGCTGGAAATCAGGCACACAGCACAAGAAGGAAAGCATGCAGTCAGATGGACTATATCCTTCCCCCCTTCCTTTTAGAGACACTACCTTACACTCTTAGTAAAGGCTAAAAATCAGACAGCACATAGGTGCTGCAAGATGGAAGGCTGCCTCTCCTCTTCCTGCAGGAGACACGCACAGCAAGAAATAGAAGACTTGCCTCCTCTCTTCTATTTATAAATGATACTTATTCCTCTGAGACTCTTCACTAGCCAACAACGGTACTCAGGTAGTCACAGCAGGCATTTCCCATGCCATTTCATTCCACTGTTATTGTTTCCTATGAATGGTGGGTTGGTTACTTACTAAATCAAGCCACCCCACTTCACATAAAGTGATAAAATATTCAATCAATCAATTTCAACCATAGACTTTGGACAACATGCAGGAAGTTATTGGAAGTAGAGTGATATTGCACATAGACTGTTAGGATAAAAGCAGAGGAAATTTGGTCATGCTGCAAGCATCATCTATAAATTAACAAGCAAATGTAAGGGTGGGTGTGTGAGTTTGGGTGGGGGGGTTGAAGCATTGATTTGTTTTTGCCCAAGTGGATTAGGTCTGTCTATACGTGTCTAACAAAAGGTGGCTCAAACGGAGGAAAGAACAGACAACTCTATTATCTCCTCCTCTATCCTTCTCCAAGGGTGACTTTGGTTCCTGCCAGGAGGGCAAGTAAGAGGTCGGAGCCAAAGGTTGGCCCCCAACTCTCCTCAGAGAGAGGGAGTATCAGGCTAGAATTACATCTGGTCCCTTAACTATTACTAGACTTGGAAATGTAATATTTAGGTTCGAACTAAACTCCTGATCACTATTGCTTAACGGAGAGGGAGGGTCCCAAGCTTTATATTCAAGGCTTGACTCTACCAAATGCCAGCTTCACATTGAATACACAGAGAAAATAGCAAAAAAAAAAAAAAAAAAGCATTTACTAAGAAAAAAAATTGAAATCAGAAAAAGTATATATGAGAACACATACCAGACATTACACAGAGTAAATGAGTTTTCCTATTGGAGGTAAGATAACTTCATTTACCTAAGAGAGTACCAAACCTCATCCAAGGGGAAATTCTTTTGAAGTCTCTAATGGAGCAAGCTGGGAATAGGGCTATGTTTGCAGTTCTGCATGTCAGCTTGTTCCCAAAATCTTTCTCCTTTCATGAACCTGAAGAGAGGTTGGAATCCTGCATCTTCTCTCTCCATGCTGGAAGCCAGAAGAATCCAGATCTTTCTTCTTTCCTCTGTTCCTTATTCAGATCTGGGGAACAAGTCTCAGACAACGGGCACTTTTGACTCAAGGGTTATACTAGTTTAGAACAGGAGTCATTCAAGGGATTGTAACAAGTATGCCATTCCAAGAAAATCCTTGAGGAGGGAAGACCAGAAGGGAAAAGAGAAGCCTTGGCTATAGCCTTGGCATAGGTTTCCTTCCTCTCTCCTCCACTCAGATTTTGGCCAGAACAGGACCCTGCAAACCACAAAGGGTCTGCAGGATGCTGGACTTCTTATGGGCTTGCCTGCGACTTAAAAGTCAGTTAATGGCAATCATTGTATACAGTAGAAACCAATGGCATACTTGATGAAGATGTAAGTTCACGACACCACAAAGTGGCCAGCAAAGAAACTCAAGGCCTAAGCTTAAGGTCCTAGGGGAACTTCTTTATCATCCCATAAATGGAAGAAAAGGACTTCCAGAAGGGAGGAGCTACGATTTGATCTCTAAGTTTTGGTACACTGTCCTTTGCCTCTGTATACACTTTTGGGGCTACGGGTGTTTGTTTTGTGCCAACTAAACCGCTGGAGCAAATGCACATTTATAAAAGTCATTTATGGCTTGGGTGACTAAATTATCTTTCTAATCTGATAACCTTGGGGGGAGCATGCTGGTAGGAGCTCTATCCCAGACTTCTCTGGGGAGTAGCCCCAGAATCCTAAGGGGGAGATGTAGCTTTGGACACTCATCTGTGCGAGGCATGGATGAGATAAGGACCCTCAAAGCTGAGAAGAGAGACATCTAAACAACGGGGCATCTCTGGCAAGAACACAGACAAGTAAACAGGAGCCCCTGGCTCGGGGGCAGCTCTGCGCATGCTCCGGGAGGACGGCGCGCTCCTGGGCCAGATGAGCTCGAGACTGAGAGCCCCCGAAGCTACGCATGCGCGGCGAGGCTCTGCAGTCATGGCCCAGGGGGGCTGGGCCCCGCCACGTTTTTCTACTCCATTGCACGGACACATGGGACAGGGTGCTTTCCAGGAGGTATACGAACCAGCTGAAGACACGTTCTTGTTGTTGGATGCACTGGAGGCAGGAGCCGAGGAGCTCATGGGGTGAGAGGGTGTGAGCGAAGCGGGGGACAGGAAGGAGGAGGAGGAGAAGGAAAGGGAAGAGAATGAAGCGATCATCACTCTACGGGGCGGGAGCGGGCGGGGCAGGCGGGGCAGGAGCGGCAGGAGCACAGTGCCGGAAAGGAAGGGGCGGGGCCGGAAGGCGGGGCCAGAGGGCGGCCGGAAGTGCGTGGTCTGCTGCCGCCTTATCTTCTTTATCGCCGTTAGTGCTGGCTCTGGGAAAATACTGACTTTGCCTAAGTCGGAAGTGCGTCTTTGGCTCCTGAGGTCTTTTTGTTCAGTCGTTTTTTTCTTTCGTGGCCAGCTCTTTGGTCATGACCCCATTTGAGATTTTTCTTGGCAAGGACACTGGAGTGGTTTGTCATTTCCTTCTCCAGCTCATTTTACAGATGAGGAACTGAAGCAAAGAGCTTTTTTTCTTTTTCTTTTTTTTTTTTAAGCGTAATTTAGCTCCCTCTTCAACTACCAGAAATTATGACTTGGGATTTATTTTTGGTGTCAGAACCAATCTAATGATGGGAGTGGCAGTGTGCCAAAAAAACAAACAAACAAAAACTGGCGTTGCTTGTGTAAATGACACTTTGTTAAAGGGTTTTAGGATCGAAGTTTGTTTTGTGAAATGTTGAGATGGTTACGGTTAGCCTCATTGAAAAGCCACTTTCAGCCCACACAAGTATCTTCCCTAGTAAGTTAATCTTTCTTCTAAAGAACTTTCTAATGATGTGTTCTTTACTTTCTTTTGTCTGTCCATGACTTCATTTAATAACAATAGCACTTATATATGCTTTAATGTTTTCAAGGCACTTTACATTTATCTCATTTGATCCTCACAGCAATCTTGGAAAGGTGCTATTATCCCCATTTTATTTATTTTAATATCAATTTTATTTTCAGTTCCAAATTCTTACTCTCCCTCATCCATTAAGAAGAAAATTTTTTAAAAATTGTTAGAAATATGCGTTTGTGCAAAACATTTCCACGTTACCCAGAAATATACTTAAATCTGCAATCTGAGTCCATCAGTTCTTCATCTCTAGAGGGATAGCATATTTTCGTCATAAATCCTTTGGGATTGTGCTGGGTCATTGTGTTAATCAAAATTACTAATCTTTTGGTTGGTTATCTTTATATTGCTGTTTCTCTGTAAATTATTTTCCTAGTTCTGTTTACCTCGCTTGGCATTTGTTTGTATAAGTCTTTACGGTAGTATTTCTGAAACCATCTCCTTCATTTCAGCACAGTATTGTGTCACATTTCATATACATATATATATATATACACACACACACACATATATAGACATGTATATATACATATATGTATGTATGTATATACTATAACTTGTTTAACCAATCCTCAGTTGATGGTCATCATCTCAGTTCCTAGTTTCTTGCCATCACAAAAAAAGCAGCTATAAAGATCTTTGTATACATGGGTTTTTTTCTTCTTTCTTTTATCTCTTTGGGGTATAGACCTTGTAGTGTTATTGTTGGGTCAAAGGGTGTGCACAGTTTAATAGCTTTTGGGGCGTATTGTTTTCCAGAATGGTTGGACTAGTTCACAGCTCCACCAGCAGTGCATTAGTGTATCTACTTTTCCACACTTCCTCCAGAATTTGTCATTTTCCTTTTCTGTCATGTTAGCCAATCTGATAGGTGTGAAGTAGTACCTCAGTGTTGTTTTAATTTGGATATCTGTAATTATTAGTGATTTATAGCATTTTAAATATGACTTAATAGCTTAATTTTTTTTCTTAAAACTGCCTATTCATATCCTTTGATCATTTACCAATTGGGGGATAGCTGTTTAGCTCAGTTTCCTATTTATTTTAGAAATTAGACGTTTTTCAGAAACTTGCTGTAAAGATTTTCCCCCCAGTTTTTTGATTTTCTTCTAATTTTAGGTGCATTGGTTTAGCCTGTATAGATAATTTTAATTTTATGTAATCAAAATTATCTATTTGATTTCATATGAACCTCTTATCTCATGTGGTCATAACCTCTTCCATTCATAGATCTTACAGGTAATTTCTTCCATGCCTCACTATTTTTTTTTTCTTATGATTTTGGCCTTTATGGCTAAATCATGAACCCACTTTCAATTCATTCCACTAAACTTCTGTTAGGAACCTACCAAGTGGAAAGTATTGGAGATACAAATAAGAAAAAGAAATAGTTCCTAGCGTCAAGGAGCTTAAATCTTGTGGGAGGGGAGGGTTGGAGGCTATACCAAAGAAAGCTGAAAAGAGATCCCAGAGCTTATCTTGGAATATGGTTTATGCCTACTTTTTGCCAGATTACTTTCTAGTTTTCCAAACAGTTTTTATTAAATATGAGCCCTTGCCACAATAGGTGGGATATTTGGGTTGATCAGACACAGAGTTAGTGTGCTCGTTTGCTTCTGTAATTCATGTTCCTAATCTGTTCCATTGCTCAACCATACTATTTCTTTTTTCTCTTTCTTAAAAATTTATTTAATATTTTATTTTTCCCCAATTACATGTAAAAACAATTTTTAACATTCATTTTTAAAACATCTCTCCCTTCCTCTCTACCCCTCCTCACTGAGAAGGCAAGCAATTTGATATGTTATACATGTTGTAGTTATGCAAAACATTTCTATATTAGTCATGTTTGAAAGAACGCATAGAGGGGCACCTAGGTGGCGTAGTGGATAGAGCACTGGCCCTGAAGTCAGGAGGACCTGAGCTCGAATGCTGCCTCAGATCAAACACTTGACACTTACTAGCTGTGTGACCCTGGGCAAGTCACTTAACCCCAATTGGCTTTAAAAAAGAAAGAAAGAAAACATAGACAAAAAAACCTCAAGAAAAATAAAGAAAGTAAAAAAGTATGCTTCAATATGTTTTCAGACACCATCAGTTCTTTGTCTCGGGATGGATAGCATTTTTCATCATAAGTTCTTTAAAGTTGCTTTGGATCATTGTATTGCTGAGAATAGCTAAGTCATTCACAGCTGATCATCTTACAATGTTGCTGTTACTTTGTATACAGTACATTTCGCTTTGCATCAGCTCATGTAAATCTTTCCAGATTTTTCTGAAAGCATCTTGCTTATCATTTCTTATAGCACAATAGTATTCCATCACAGTCACATAGTGCAATTTGTTCAGCCTTTCCCCAATTGATGGGCATTCTCCAAGTTTCCAACTCCCTGCCAACAGAAAAAAACTGTTATAAATATTTCTGTACATATAGGTCCTTTTCCCTTTTGTTTTTTATCTCTTTTTGGATATAGACCTAGTAGGGGCACTGGTAGGTCAAAGTGTATGCACAGTTTTATAGCCCTTTGGGCGTAGTTCCAAATTGCTTTACAGAATGATTGAATCAGTTTAGAACTCTACCGACAGTGCATTAATGTCTCATTTTTCCCACATCCCCTCCAACATTTGTCATTCTCCTTTTCTGTCCTATTATCCAATCTAATAGGTATGAGGCAGTACCTCAGAATTGTTTCAATTTCCATTCCTCCAATCAGTAGCAATTTAGAGTACTTTCTCATATGGCTATGGATAGCTTTGATTACTTCATCTGAAAACTGTTCATACCTCTTGATTATTTATCAATTGGGGAATGGGTCCTATTTTTATAAATTTGACTCAGTTCTCTACATATTTGAGAAAGTTATCAGAGAAACTTGCTTCAAAATTTTTTTCACAATTACGATTCCTAACTGTATTTCCCTCCATCCTATCTCCACCCCTGTTTATTTTATTCTCTCTCTCTTTTCACCCTCTCCTTTCTCAAAAGAGTTTTGATTCTGACTTACAGTCTTCCCCAATCATCCCTCCCTTCTGTCACCTCCCTTCTCTTATCCCTTTCCCCTCCTACTTTCCTGTAGGGTAAAATAGATTTCTATACCCAATTGAATGTGCATGTTATTCCTTCTTTGAGCCAATTCCAATAAGAGTAAGACTCAAGCATTTCTTACCACCTCCCCCAGTGTCCCCTCACTGTAAAAGCTTTTCCTTGTCTCTTTTATGTGAGATAGTTTACCCCATCCTACCTCTCCCTTTCCCTTTCTCCCAGTGCATTCCTCTTTCTCACCCCTAATTTTATTTTTTTTAGATATTATCCCTTCATATTCAACTCACACCGTGCCCTTTGTCTATATGTACTCCTTCTAACTGCCCTAATAATGAGAAAGTTCTTAGAGTTACAAGTATCATCTTCCCATATAGGAATGTAAGCAGTTTAACCTTATTAAATCCCTTATGATTTCCCTTTTCTGTTTATCTTTTTATGCTACTCTTGAGTCTTGTATTTGAAAGTCAAATTTTCTATTCAGCTCTAGTCTTTTCATCAAGAATGCTTGAAAAGTTCTCTCTTTGTTGAATTTTTTTTTTATTGAATATTTTTTCCCTTGAAGTATTATACTCAGATTACTGAGTAGATGATTCTTGGTTGTAATCTTAATTTCTTTGCCCTTTGGAGTATCATATTCCCAGCCCTCCTATTCTTTAGTGTAGAAGCTGCTAAATCTGGTGTTATCCTGACTGTGGCTCCACGATACTTGAATTGTTTCTTTCTGGCTGCTTGTAATATTCTCTTCTTGACCTGAGAGCTCTGGAATTTGGCTATAATATTCCTGGGAGTTTTCATTTTGGGATCTCTTTCAGGAGATGATCAGTGGATTCTTTTAATTTCTATTTTACTCTTTGATCCTAGAATATGAAGGCTGTTTTCCTTGATAATTTCTTGAAAGACGATGTCTAGGCTCTCTTTTTGATCATGGCTTTCAGGTAGTCCAATACTTTTAAAATTATCTTTCCTGGATCTATTTTTCAGGTCAGTTGTTTTTCCAATGAGATATTTAATTTTGTCTTCTTTTTTGTTTTCATCCTTTTGGTTTTGTTTCATTGCTTCTCGATTTCTCATGAAGTCATTAGCTGTTCCGGTCACGCCCGTGCACTCTCCTCCTATAAGGAGCAGGCTGCCAGAGTCATACTTACCAGTCTTCAG